TACAATGCGTGTGAAGAAAACTTTTTTGAATAAAATGCTGACTGAAGATACTGCTAGGAGTATTGGGATGTCTTCGTACTTTCCGCATGTACGTCGAGTTTTTGTAGATATTCTAAGAGCACTGGACGTTCATTACGGTAGACCGTTGATGATGACAAGTACTCAGAATATGAACAAAGAGCCCGATGAAATGATAACTGGAGAAAGAAAACCAAGGATTGATCTTTTCCGGACGTGTGTTGCTGCAGTACCGAGATTAATTCCCGACGGAATGACCGGGGCTGAGTTGGTTGATTTGCTTTCAAGGTTGACTGTGCATATGGATGAAGAACTTCGTGGTTTGGCGTATCAGAGCTTGCAGACTTTGGTTATCGATTTTCCAGACTGGAGGCAGGACGTCGTGATGGGATTCACGCAATTCTTAGCACGAGATGTGCAAGACACTTTCCCGCAGTTAGTTGACAACGGATTGAGAATGCTGCTTCAGCTTTTGACCTCTTGGAAGAACGCTCTGATTAGTCCGAGCCCCCGGGCGAAGGAACAAGCTATTGAGAGCCAGCGGATAAATCCGAGAATTGATCCTGCTGTTAAAAAAGTCGATACGTCTGCTCAGAAAGTCGAACAAGCCTCCACTGTATTTCATCTTGTGGAAGGATTTGCTTTGGTAATGCTGTGTAATTGTAGATTGTACCCCCGGCGACTTGCGGTTCATATTCTTCGAGAGGTTAAAGTCTTGCTGAAAGCTCTAGGAGGTCTGGAGACTGACCAGCCGGTTATTGATGTCATTGATGCATCTTGTCCAGCGGTTATTGAAAAGTGTTATCATCTATTACCTCCAGCGGAAAAAGCCGCTGCTGCTTCTACGTCTAATGTTGATCTTCAGTGGATCGCTGACAGAAGTAGTTGTGTCTGGACTGCAGGATTTCATGATGAAAATAGTACCAAGAGTTCATCGCTGCTGAATCTTAATGGAGTTGATCCCTGGAGCTTATGCTTGTTTGCTTTTTTGGAAAGAGATCGGGTGCTTACTTTGTGTCCCAATGCTACTGCACACTCCTGGCCGATTGTTTTTACGCGGATTAATTCTCTTTTTAGTGTTGTCGATCCTACGTAAGTACTTTAATTAATAATAGTACTTTTTTAAGTAATAAATCTACACTGATAGAAGATTTTTTTTATATTTAATAAGCTTTATTAATTGTTAATAAATTATTTATTAAATACGATTTATTAAATGTTAAAAAATATTCATTAAAATTGAATAATTGTCTTCAAATAAATTAAATTATTAATAATTAATAAATCCTTCTATCAGTGTAGCTTTAGAAAAATTTTAATTAAATTTTTTTTTTTAGGCCAGTTAATGATAACAGAGCTTCACTGTTAAGAAGTTCAACAGCTGTAAGAAAACCAGTCAATGAAAGAGATGTCTACATGCACATATGGAAAAATTATTTAACTTTCGGTTATCGTGTCGTTCCTCCAATACCCAGTCCAATAATCCGATGCGCGAGTCCAGATTTGAGTCTCAGGTATATTAAAAAAAAAAAAAAATTGGTTACTTAAATAATTATTAGTTTTAAGTAATGCATTTTTTATATGCCAAACACTTTTTAAACAATTAAATATATAAGTAAAAAACATTTTTGGTAATTGGTGTTGGGTCTTGTCTGCTTATGTCTGTTGTGCCACTGGCTCCAGCACATTCATTAAATCAGAATCATAATCATGTTATCGAAATAAAAGTACATGGTTATTTTATATACATTCAAGAAAATAAGCATCAGCAATTACACGATACAAACACCACAAAATACTAACACGCTCATAATACTTGATTTTTTTTTTTCCAAGCAATTAAAGCTAACCAAACGATTAACATTCACACGAACACACAATTTTTAAAGAGCAAATATTTGCACTGTTAATAAATATAAAAATGCATGATCACAAAAAATAATCGTTTAGATAATTAATTTACTATTACTATTCTATTGTAAAAATTTATTCTAATTAATTTCTATCTTTCTACTGTGTCTTTACTATTAATTAATTTCTGCTAAGAACGTAGTTAAAAAAACAAAACAAAACGTCTGATAAATATGAGCATTGGTGGTACACTGTATTGCATACTCTAGTGGTCAGCATACGGTGGAGTTTGGTGTGTTGTGCATGAGTAAGGAGTTGAGTCAAAGCCTGGAGAACCTCGGCGGGGCCCAGACCCTGCCGGGACGATTCTCCGTTCCGTCCATATCCGGCATCTACACCAGGCATAAGCGGACCAGGTGAGCCTAAGTGACAAAAAAAAATTTCAAGCAAAGAAACCGACACAATTTGATTGCAACAATCTTTTTTTTTTTTTATTTATTAATTATTAAAATTATTTTTCAATTCTATTACTTGGTTTTAATAAAACACTATCTGACTGCGGATGATTGGTGCACTGGTGTCTACGATTTACTAATTCATCATAGTAGTTTAATTATATAATTATTACATTGATAATTATACACTTAGAAAATTTTTTAAAGTAGTTGATGGTTAATTAATAAATATTAGATTAACAAAATTTATTAATGTAGATTAGATCACCACTTACGTCTTTATTTTGCACGTATCATTTCAACACTACTATTTGCATACACCTTTTTTTATTTTTATTTTTTTTAAGTAAGGTAAAAGACCCAGTTATTGACACTTAATTAAAAAAAAAAAATAATTTTAATAAATATAATTTTTGAATTATAAATTTTAAGACAATTGGTTTTTTGAGAACATTAAATTTTTTTAATTAGAATAAAATTGCAAGTGTCGAACAACTAGACCAGTCCCAATAACTGGGTCTTTTACTTTATTTAGTGTGTTTTTATTGTAATTTAAAACTATTTGTTTTCGCAGCTCATCGCCGGATAGTTTGTCAGCTGAACGTGGGGACAATAAATCACCAGGAAACAACGCCAGCCCGGCTGCATTGTACAAACTTACTGTACCGCTCTTGAGGTGTGAAGCAGTTGATGTACGCGATGCTGTTGTCCATGCTATTGGAAAAGTCAATGCAGATGCATTAAAGTAATAATTAATTACAATTTTTTTTTAATTTATTTACATTTTTATTTTTTAATATTGTTTTTTATTTTTAGAGACTTGATGGAAGAATTAGTTCCTTATATTCGAGAAGCTGTGGATAGAAAGCAAGAAAATATGCGGAGACGTAGGCGTAGAGATGCTTTGAGACTCCAGCTTGTCAGAGTTTTAGAACTAGTCGCAGAGTATGGAACTTTTGGAATTTGGTAAATATATTTGTTACCAAAATATTTGTAAAGAATTTTTGACTTTTAATATTACTATTATTTTAGTCCCGCTGTGCTTGATCGTGAGACTCAGTCTCTTCACCCGACATTTGTGGAATACATTGACGGAGCGAGACTGTATTTAGAAAATGAAACTGACAAAGAAGCTCTGGCCGTGAGAGATATAAAACTTCATTTTTGTAATTTTATAAGAAAAATGATAAAAAGTTTCTCAAGTAAGTTATTACTGTATACATTTGCTTTTAAAATAACCAATAATATTTAATAATAAATTAAAAAACTTTGTTTATTTAAGTTGAAGCGTGCCATCTACTGTTGAAGCGAGATTTGCGTCGCAACTTGTTTACACTATTTGCAACTTGGTCTGGGCCGTATGGTAAACCATTAACGAATGTGTCTTCAACTTTTGACGAAGATAAATCGTGTTCAGAACTCCAGTTATCGGCTTTGCAAGCGATGAGTAGTCTTTTGTGTTGCGGACCCTGCTTTAATCCTCAATCGTTGTCTGAAGAAGGCGCTATATTGTATCAATGGCTTGATCTATTACTTGCCAGTAAAGATGAGAAGGTTTGTTAAATACTTTAATACTTTGTTCAAGTAAACAATCAATTGGATTTAATTTATTAAATTCTTTATTTTTTTAGTTGTTTTAATTAAATCAGTTTATATCACTATAGTTTACTAGTTTATATCAATATAATTTTACTTTGTATTTTGTGAACTATTAATATTTTTAAAGATATAAGCTCATCCTGATGTTACATTTATCAAGAGCTTTCATTTGAATACCCACATCAATTTTCCATATGAAAAATATATCAAAATACATGTGGGTACTCAAATGAAAGCTCTTGATGGGTGTAACATCGGGATGAGCTTATATCTTTAAAAACGTCAATATTTAAGAAAGTACAGTGCAATTTGACAAAAGTCATTATTTAATAAAGCAAAATTTTAATTTTGTACATGCTAAGAATATTTTTGAGAACAAAAAATAATAATAATAATTATTTATTTATTTATTTATTTAAAGATTTACACTCTTGCACGTGAAACAGTTGTTTTATTATTGGAAGGAAACCCTGACATTGGAACTTTGCTTGATTGGGTAGTGGATAGATGTTACACAGGCCTTCCGCAAGTAGCTGATGGCTGTTTTCTCGCATTAGCCACAATTTTTAGCGCCAGGTAATTTTTCATATTTATAACTTTATAAATTGAAGAAAAACTTTGATTAGTTTTTAAGTTTAAAAGCATGTTATTAAAGTTTTATACTGGTTATTATTCATTATTAATGACAATTGAATTATTTAATCAGACAAAAGAGTTAATTACTTTATAATTCGATTCACAATTATACTCGCTTTTTCTGAGAGTTACAGTAAAATTTAATAGCTTGTTTTAATTTTCACAAATGGATTAATGCAATTCCAAGCATAAATTTAGAACAATAAATTCCTAACAATTAAATCCTTTTATATTCTGTTTTAATTCAGAGAGTATCCTTGCGACCATTACACCAGCGTTATAAACGTCAGTCTGATGAATACAGGTTGCCCACGCGTATCAGTGCAAGATGCAGCCCTCCAACTTCTTCAGCTTCTAGACCAAAGGTTTTTTGGTAATGTAAGACCTCTTCCAACCGCAGAGCTTGAAACAAGTAAGTTTAATTGTCATTCATAGATATCCTTATTGTTCTTGAATTGGATTCTGCGTTAAAAATTTAGTTTTACGCGACGGACGTCTTGAAAAACTTTGCAACTCGTATTCTTCGGACCAAGGTACTTCATAAACAATTGTCCGTTGACGGCTCGATGATTCATTGTAAGATTTCCGTAACTCTGAAGCAATAATTTTATTTAATTTATTTATTCAAAGATATTAGAGATGGTAAATATTTATATCGTAAATTATCGGCCTCACTCAAGACTTGATAAATAAAAGTTTCAAGTGATTTATATAAGTCCAGAAGAGCTTGCACAATCTTAAAATATTTAAGTAGTAAAGTTGGTAATTTTTTATTACCGTGATTTGAAATCCTTGTCCCGGAATTCCATCGTTTTTTACGACGCAAAATAATCGCAACAACAGCTTTACGAAAATTCTGTCCACTAGCGCAGTATAATACAAAGTTAATCCCAAAGTTTGTGTCAAACAACAAATTACTTATGTGCTGTGTTATTACAATAGCCCGAGGTGGATCATCGTCTTCCTATAAATAAATGCAGTCATCAATATATTTACAAATATATATATAAATTGCTTTGATGGGTAAATAAAAGGAACTTTGTAACTCCAATATTTATTCTGGCCACATAATTTTGACCCTGCAATAAAAACTTAAGGAAGTTGATAAAAATATGTGACAAGAATCGGTATTAACAGTTAGTATTGATCGTTTTATAAATTTACTTTTATAAGAAAGAAATGGTGAGAACAAAAAAAAACAATCATTAAACTCAATTACATACTACAATAATATTTTATATCTCAGTAAAGACAGACGAAATTAATAATGAATTTATCACGTAAATATAATTGAAAATAAAAAGTATTTTGACTTGAGATGATTACTCAGGGTTTTATTTCTAAAAGGTTTGTCATAACTAGTGACACTTTATATTAAAATGGATTATCCTTGGTGTACTTAATGGCTTACCTCAAGAAATGCTCTGACTCTCATGACGTAAGCTGGCAAATTGAAACATAAAAAAAAGCTTGAAACAACTAATAACATATTTGTAACTTTGCTTTGCGAAACACCAGGTGAATGTTTACATTTTTGCTGGGATGATTTATTTTTATTCAACGAGGAAGTTATTTTCTTAGTTGTGGATGTAGTTAGGGTCCTACGCACTCCTGCTAATCGCCAAACAGATTTAACAATTAATCCATTAAGCACAACAATAACAGTAAACGGGAGCACAAATGTTAGAATAGTATCAGCGACGTTAAATACACGTGCCCAGTCGGCCCATTCTTCAGCTAGTAAACATACAGTGGTATTTAATTTTTTATTAGTGTACCGTGGTCTTGAAAACCAGAGCACCGGACTGCATAAAACTAATCCAACCAATGTCAATATCATTAATATAGTTTTAGCTCGAGCAACTGTACACATTGACTGTCGACGTAACGGATAACGCACGGCTACAAATCGCTCGATGGTGAATGAAACTACGAACCAGACACTCAAGAAGCTACATAATGTCGGGAGGTAGATGAAAAATTGACAGTAACCTGGACGATTAAATAAACCAATCCCGACCATATTTAACCAGGCTACTAAAAGAGATATGAGGAAACCCGTGTCGCTTATTACCAAGGCTGATAGATACCAGCTTGAAGACACACGGCGCATTTTTGTACGGAAGAAAACGTAGATGGATAAACAATTACCAAGTGTTCCCAATGACACTAGCACTGGTGTGTAATACATTTGGATTCCCGTCATAGTTGCTTCTGCCCAATCATTTGGCTGCAATGTTTCGTTTTGCTCCATTTTAATCTGATTATTTTTTATATAATTTTAATTTTAATTTAATAGAAAAAATTGTAATGTTTAAATGATGGGTTTTATTATTAACAGACACCTAAAACAAAATCTCTTCATTGTGCAAGATTTATCCACGTGTATTATAACAGAGTTTAGAAAAATAATTTGGGAAATTCGCCAAATATTATTTTCAAGGCTTCTTAAGTATCCGTTTTGTTGAATCTGGAAGCACTGTTCACCAACACTTGTCTGTATAGTTGTAATAACAGCAATGAAAAAAACACCAGGCTTTTTTAAACTCACGGAAAAAAATAAGTATCAGAGTACAAAGAACTCGGTAAAAGCGGATATCAATTAACTGATCAAGCCGTGAGCTTTTAAATTTTAATGATAAGATTTGAGAGTTAATAATTAATGAGCACATGAGAACCTTTCTCGTGCTCACGATCTGTCTAATTCTGCTAGCACTCTGCTCGAATGTAAGCTTGATAAAGCCCGCGAAGCTTCCGGCTTCTGCGCGCCACAGGACCTCTCAACTTGTGCTTATACCCAATACAATTTAATATTTTCAACGTCTATTTATAAAAATAACAAATACCATTTTCCTATCTTAACGTTATATCTTTTATTAAATTAAAAAAAATTCTTTTGATAATATATTTTATGCATGATAGACTTTTATCTTAATGTTTCTTCCAAAGAAAGGGTATAATGAGTTTAGGAACAAAAAATAATTTATAGTACGCAATAAATCTTTATCTAGGTTCTTCTTTTATTTCAGATCAAGAAGAATGTCCGTTGAATTCATTGATAAATCCTGGTACCACGATGCCCGGAGCTATATCATCATTTGGAACAAATGTCCCAGTAAAAGCTGGTACTCTTGATGCTCTACTCACCGCATCTTATTGTCGGAATCAAATGTATTTGTCAAGGCAACTCGCTCAACTTCATCCCGAGCTTACGATGCCGATGTTTAGCGGTAACAACCTTTTTATATATCATTTGTAATATCACTGATGAATGACTTTTAGATTTAAACTAGTATTTTATAATTTTAAAACTAGTATGAAGAATCAGTGGCAAATTTATGTTTATTCAATACTAATAAATCTCGAGTTTCTAATAATAACTTTATATTTGACGTTAATACCTATGTTTAAAGATTGAAATTTGCGTTAAAAACCCATTAGTACATTTATATTTAATTACATCGAATAAATCTGATAAAAGTAGCCTTTAAATATTCACGTTACAAGCCCACAAAGTGATTAAATTTTTAATAAAAAAATTTAATTAATTTGAACCAAAAAGCTTTTAAAAAAATGTAATTAAAAAGAAATACCAGAAAATTTATTTATATTTTAGCAAAAGAACATTAATTTCATATTGTATAGGCGTAGACAGTTATGGATAGCTGTCAACATGAAATCTAGGTCTCTATGACGACGGACTGGAGTATATTGATACTGACAGTATATTTAATTAGAAATTATAGCTAAATATCATCCACATTCTCTACTTGCTTATTAAATTTCACTTAAATAATTTTATAATCTTGAACTATAATGACTGTGTCTATTGAAAAATTAACTAGCTCGCATAATGTTCATTCTAAAATCGAATGGATGAGCGAACTCTACTTTTAGAATCCAAACAGTGAAAATTTTCACATACATAAATAACGAGACCTTTTGCCACCTCTATACTCTTATTCTGAATTTTCAGCCAACACTACTTTTCATACAATATATTAAATTTTCTTCTTTTACGCACGGGCAGTTTCCATCAACCACTTAATCATAATTCAATTTTTATCGCGTGCTTATAAAAAAACATAATAAAAAAAAAAACTGATTTCTTTTTTTTTTTTAATTTCATTTTATCATACGTTATCCATTCCCGGTTGATGGAATAATCATAATTGCACTAAAAACATCTGTCGGGCATCGTGGTTTATTGGCGAAACACCTCGGCCTCTTTGGTTACTCATACTCCATCAACGTTAGCTGGCAGTTTTCAATCAGTCCAACGAACTTAAAAGCTCCGACCTACACATGTTCCACTCGGGCCATACTTCTATCCTTACTTACTTACATCAGCGGTCTTCTTTCTTTGTTTTTATCTATACGTAACACTCTATTTTGACCCCTTCCTTAATCTCTCCTACACGTGCTGTATACATTTACTTAATCTTTACTCATCGTCCCATCTATCCGTCATTTTTTAATTTTACTTGGCTTGTTTCAGAGATAACTCACAGATTCCAAACTGCCAGACGTGAAGTGCGACAACTGTTGCTCCAATATTTATTACCCTGGCTGCATAATATGGAATTGGTTGATCCAAATGTTCCTCCGCCTGCTAATCCTTCTAGTTATTATCAGGTAATTTAATAGAGTTTACGTTAAGGGTTTTAGCGTAAAAAAAAAAAAAAAAAAAAAACACTTTTTGTGATTTTTTTTCTTAAATATGGATTGAGCAATTTTATTCAAACCTTTTGTACATTATTGAGCATACTTTTGACAATGTTGTGTAATTTTTTCATGCAGAAATATTGAAGCATAAGCCCGTAACAGAGCTTCCTTCAAAATGTAATAGCGTTAATAATCTAACTAAAAAATTTCATTCACAGAAAAAAAAAAAAATAAACTTGGAGGTGCCGGGTATCGATCCCGGTACCTCTCGCATGCTAAGCGAGCGCTCTACCATCTGAGCTACACCCCCTGTTACGACTAACACGATCTAAAGATCATTTATATACTTCACTGATTTAAATCTGGTGCAATTACAGTCGCTAGTGAAAGGAGCAAAAAAATAAATTTGGAGGCGCCGGGTATCGATCCCGGTACCTCTCGCATGCTAAGCGAGCGCTCTACCATCTGAGCTACGCCCCCGGTGTTGTTTATCTCAGAGTAAATATTCAGTTTTACCTTTCACGTCAATTCTATTTCAATATAAATAAGATTAAGCACAAGTGAAAGGTGCAGAAAAAAAAAAAGACTTGGAGGCGCCGGGTATCGATCCCGGTACCTCTCGCATGCTAAGCGAGCGCTCTACCATCTGAGCTACGCCCCCTGAATAATTTCGACCTTCAAAATTTAAATTAAGAGATAAACTTTAATTTTGCCTTTTCTTATCATATTTAATTTACTTTTATCAGACATTAAGTCTATAATCATGCTTAATATTTACTTTCAGTATTATACGAGTGACGTTACTCGTGGCGGTACTAAACGTGAAGGATGGGGTACTGCGGAAGCTACGGAAATGGTTCTCAATAATTTATTTTACATAACTGTTAAGGTAAAGTTTTTAATTAAGTTTCAACATTTGTTTTTTATTTATTTTTGTATATTTATTATTTTATTTAAAATATGTTTATGCAATGCAGTTCTCAGATGAGCATCCTAAAGAAGTAGAAGAACTTTGGTCAACATTATGCGGCTGCTGGCCGAACAATCTCAAAGTTATAATACGTTACTTAATAATCATCTCTGGAATGGCACCACAAGAATTACTACCTTACGCAAAAAGAGTTGTACTTTTCCTAGCTAGGTCACGTCCAGAACGTTTAGTAGACGAGATGATGACGGAATTACAAACAGTTGAAACATTAAATTGTTTAATAGAACGAACAGAAACTCCGCCGTTTTATAGGCTTACAAGTATGAGAAAAGCGTCATCACACAGTGACGCACCAGCTGCAGATCCAGGTAATCCATCACGAGACTTAGCGGTAGAGAAAGGAACAATTCATACTAAAAGACACTCAGGAGAAGACCCTGTTAAAACAGGATCCAAGTCTGACACTGCTCTGCGAGCTTTAGCTGGTTTTCAGACACCTCGCGTTGAGAAAACTCGAACCACAAGTGGGCCACCTATTTTGCCAGATGATTTGTCAACTCCAACCACTGAGGTTGAATTAACAACCGACGAGACAATTTATGTAACACGTATCGGAAGTTCTGTTACCAACAAAGTTAACCATAGTGAAAAGTTTGATATACCTCAGCCCCATCCATTACCTATGCCCGAATACGGCGGGTACTTTGCCCCGCTGACAGAATATTTACCGGATAGTTCTCAGCCTATAAGTGGATTCCATCGGTGCAACATTGCGGTAATGCTTTTAACAGACATTGTCGTCGACGGTATACAATTAGACTGGGCAATCCACGTGCCTTTGATGCTGCACATAATATTCCTTGGACTAGATCATTCGCGCCCACTAGTACGTGATCACTGTCGTATGTTGCTGATGAATTTGCTGGTAGTCCTCGGTGACCACCGTGATCATTTGGGCGTAGCAAGACTGCTCCTGGCTTCACGAACTGAACAACTAGGTCTAGGTCTGAGTACCCCAGCTCTGCCGATATTGGAGCACAATTTCACAGAAGTTGATCCGGAATTCGATGCCTATTTATACGGACCACCTGCAGTAGCTCCAACCGCAACAACGACAACTCCACCAAGATCAAACACACCACCGGCTTACTCTCCACCGCCAGCACCGCCGCTACCTGAGCCATCGTCTTCACCCGTACTGACCTCATCAGATGCCTCTCCGTCGCACTCGCCAATTCCGTCCGCTTCAGTAACACCACCCACTCTTCTTGCGTCTCAAGCTAAAGATCAATCAAAAGAGGCTAACACTTCACTAATGGGAGCTTCTCCACCCATTCCTCCTCCACCTCCGCCTCCACCCTTTCCAACTTCACCCTCCGCACCCACATCAACGAGTCCGTCACCCTCCCACTCACCCATCCCAACAACTTCAGTAACTCCCCCGACTCCAGCTCAAGTTCAATCAAAAGAATTAGACAATACGCCACTACGTGCCTGGCCCGCGTCAGCAGGCTCATCTACCGGAGTTCCACCAGTTATTGTAACTCCAGAAGACGCTGGTAATTGGACAGGACCGCAACCGGGTCCTAATATGCCGATCCAAGATGTCATTAGATCACTTATAAACTTTTTAGCCTCGAAAACTAATCAGCCACTTT